ATTTGCAAATAATCAACCGAGGCCTTTTTCTGCTTGCAGCGGGCGAATTTTAAATGCATTCTCTTTTATTTCCTAATGCACTGGATGGAGAAGAGTTCGTTTCTTACAAAAGCAAAGCCAAAACGGTCCAATCATATCAACGGACCCTGCGCTGTTATAAATGTAATTTGCGATGTGCGTTTTCGGCCATTAGTGGGCCTGGCTGATTCATCAGCTTTGTAGGGGGCATCTCGGCCCGAACTATTGTACAAACTCCCTCGCTTGCGTGGGTAGGGTTTATCTTTTTTTTTTTTTAAAAAAAATTGTTGTCGTTGTTGTTGTTGAAGGCGCAAAGTCCATTTTCGATTTAGAGAGACGCGACGGGTTGAGGCCAGCAGGACTGAAGGCTTGGCCTCTGTCGAGGGAAAAATTAAATTTATCTAGAGTTCATCAGGATTGAGGTGGGTTGGAAGAAATGACAAAAGCAGACGGTTGGGGTTTGGTGGGGTTTTTTTTTGCTGTTTGGTTCCCATGCTGTAGATCCTCTTTGAGAGAATGTTATGGAGAGGTGAAATTAGATGAATAATTCCCAGGTCAGCAAAGAGTATATATATATATACTCTCCCCCAGAGTTCAGGGAGGGGAGGGGGGAAGAGAGCTTGGTTGCGGTCCATCAATTTCCTCTCCCTTTAGCTGCCAAGTTCTTTCTGGATGTCTTTACTGGAGCCCATAACTATCTCTTTCTTTGGCAGGACTCTTAAAAGCTTGGAAACAGGTGGGAGAAGTTGGCCTAGAAACGGAGGTGATGTCACTTCACGAACTGCAATTACATATTCGCCTGAAAGATAGAAAGGAAGGCTGGGAATTAGCTGAGGAGGGGGTCTGGATTAACAGGTATCCTAAAAGCAGGCTATGGGATGGGGCACCCAGGAGGACACTTCTCTGACAAACCACGGATGTTTTAAGACGGTGGACTGACCACGCAAGGCCCTACGTAAGCAAGCACAGATCACGTCTCTCCGAGCACATTCTGGTGGCTGGAAGGCATTTCCCCACCTGACTTAAAATCTACACACCTCTACCTTGCAGGAACTGGGGATGTCTAGTTTAATGAAAAGAAGGACCAGGGGAGACATGATAGCAGTCTTCCGATATCTCACGGGCTGCCCCAAAGAAGAGGGAGTCAAGCTGTTCTCCAAAGCACCTGAGGGCAGGACAAGAAGCAACGGATGGAAACCAATCAAGGAGAGAAGCAACTTAGAACTAAGGAAAAATTTCCTGACAGTGAGAACAATTAATCAGTGAAACAACTTGCCTCCAGAAGTTGTAAATGCTCCAACACTGGAATTTTGAAAGAAGATGTTGGATAACAATTTGTCCAGAGTGGTGGAGGGTTTCCTGCCTAAGCAGGGGGTTGGACTAGAAGACCTCCAAGGTCCCTTCCAACTCTGTTATTCTATTCTATTCTATTCTATTCTATTCTATTCTATTCTATTCTATTCTATTCTATTCTATTCTATTCCATTCCATTCCATTCCATTCCACTCCACTCCATTCCATTCCGATTATTGAAAATCCGTGTCTTCTAACGGAGGCCTCTCTTGCTTAGCTGCCCACTCTTTTTCAAATGCAACGGGGCCACAAGGGAGATACTTTGCATCAACGTGGCAGGCCCATCGCCCAGGTGCCTGGCATGCAGCTCTCAAAGCTGCCCATGGGCACCGAGTGAACCAGTCGCTCCAGAGAGATATCGATGGCCGTTCTTCCTCTGAAGGTTGTCAGCGTTTTTGACAAAAGAGGTTTTTAAATACAGGGTGAAAGTTCGGTGAAAAAACGCAACTTGACAGAAGGTTCTCAACCTCCCGTGTCCGTGAAGTCAAGATAAGACAGCACTGCCATCAATATTTCGGGAGGGATTAACATGATGAGCGGGTTGTTAATGGAACTGGACGGGGGCCAGGACACCTGGATTAGCAGCTCCTGAATTTAAAAGGGAAAAACATTCAAGGAGATTCCCCCCCCCCTTTTTCTTCTTCTTCTTCTTCTTTTAGTCTAGGGTGAAATTGCAAAAAGAGGTCACTCTGCACGTTTGGGAAGATTTTTGCACATGAAGGCTCAGCCTGACTGACACAAGGCCCCGATCGAACGGAAAAAATGCGTACATGAAAGTTTTGCTCAGCACGGATTAGCCTTTGTGGGGAGAAAACTTGACTTGGCCGCGGTCCTAGAGGCTCTGATTTTCAGAGGAAAGGTCTGTTTCCAGAAATATGAGGAGTGCGCAATTCCTTGCATCTTGGGAAGGTAAAGCGTCCGTGCCAGAAGACCTCCTTGTGAACTGATGACAGAGTCACCTGGGGGTAGAGATGGATTTGCTGGGCGATATATTCAGGAGATGCACTTTTGAACTTAGGTGCTGGAAAACTCCTCTCAAGACCCAACAAACTAATGGATCATCATATAAATCCACCCAGAGTTCTCCTTTGAAGCACACGCGTGATCAGGCTCAAATTGATCCTACTCCTGAGTCACATTATTGCGAACACCCAGAAGGCTCCTGGAACAAGAGCCGGAGTGGAGCGACGATGCCTTCCAATCTCACTATGTCTGTCGGTCGGTCTGTCTTTCTGATCAACTGTTTCACCTCCCATTCTGCAGTAAGCCTTCCTCTCCCTCACTTCCCCACCCATCTGTTCCAAAAACAGACTGACATTTAAAAAACAGGGAGAGAAACAACGTTAAGTCACAGCTATCTATACGCAGCCAGGGAGGAAGGGAGGGCGGGCAAGAGAGAGAGAGGAAAGAAGGAAGGAAGGAAGGAAGGAAGGAAGGAAGGAAGGAAGGAAGGAAGGAAGGAAGGAAGGAAAACATTACTTTTTAAACACTTGCACGTACTGTATGTTGCCTTGAACATTTGGAAGTTGGGATTTCAAAACCAGAATTCAGGCTTAACTCAGGAATCTGTATTGCGTACATATTTCATACTGTTGCTTGTCACCCCACTTGCTCATCACATTCTCCCCACTCAAAGCTGTCTGTTAAAATCCTTTATGCAGTCCCAAATTTTGTTGTCTCTGCGGGAATTTGATGGTTAAATTTCCTTTCCCTTCTTACCTTCTGGAAGGAAGCCTTGTAGTATCCGAAGCCGAACATCCAGATTCAGTCACAGTTTTGTTCCATATAATATCAAATTTGTGAACGCTCAAGTTTCCGCTTTCCCCTACGCATTTCCACAATATTGCGTACTTTTTAACCAAATTTGAACACTAACACATGAATAATGAAGGATCCCTTAATGTACCCTTACTGTAGCTATTAAATCTGCATTACTATTAATCTTCTCATCGGTCCTATCACCCATCTCCTCCCACTTATGAGTGTAACCTTGTTGCTGGTATCCTTAAGATTTATATTGACTGCTTCCCTATGACTACCATTAAGTGTTGTACCTTATGATTCTGAAATAATAATGGCGGGCTAACAAATAAATAAGGGACGTGGTGGCTCAGTAGCTAAGACGCTGAGCTTGTCGATCGAAAGGTCGGCAGTTCAGCGGTTCGAATCCCTACCGCCGCGTAACGGGGGGAGCTCCCGTGACTTGTCCCAGCTTCCTTCGACCTAGCAGTTCGAAAGCACGTAAAAAGTGCAAGTAGAAAAATAGGGACCACCTTTGGTGGGAAGGGAACAGCGTTCCGTGTGCCTTTGGCGTTGAGTCATGCCGGCCACATGACCACGGAGATGTCTTCCGACAGCGCTGGCTCTTCGGCTTTGAAACGGAGATGAGCACCGCCCCCTAGAGTCGGGAACGACTAGCACTTATGTGCAAGGGGAACCTTTATCTTCACCTTCATATTCACAATATATATAATATATATAATCAATCTGTATGTGACTTGCTCTGACATGCTCCATTTTGTAAAAAATTTGTTGCACCGAGAATGCCAGGGGCTACAACTCTCCAGGCCATACTGTCCTCCAACCCCACCCAAGATTGGCAGATTAGGACACAAGAAAACTCTTGGGTGCTCTTGATAAGGAGGACTTTAAAAGGATCAACAGATTCTACATCCAGCGTCCTTTTCTCCCTTCTTCTTCCCTCCCCTTTAAGGGACACCACCAATAGCTAATTAATATGGCATCGGCAACATAAAAAGGAAAAATGGCTGCGATGAAAGGGGGGTGGGGGGTGGGAGAGAAGAGAAAAAGCATTTATGAAATTTGCTACCGCCCGAGAATCTGAAGGGCGGAGAACGTGCGTGGAATGTGGGTCCTTTCTTGCCAATGACATTTTGATAGATGCTGGAATCATCAAAGGGCATTTACGGAGCGATGGGAGAAGGGATTATCAGATGTCGTTAAAGGGGAAAGAAAAAACCCGTCAGACAGAGTAAGCCTTCCTTTGGTTTGGTCAGGAGAAGCACGGTTAGGAGTTCCACCCCAAGAGAATAAAATCTGGGCCCTCATTTTACTGACCACGGGGAGGATGGAATTGGCTGTGTGCAAAGCTGGCGAGTGTGTATTTGTGTGCATTTGTCTCCGCAAGCCCAGGGAGAGACAAGAAGCCCTGCAGAATATATTTGACTTACGACCAGTCATTTGATGGCAAATAAAAATAAAAATAAAAATGCCCCAAGAAGATTCGGTTACAACTACGAGATTTGCTTAATAACCATAGCAACAATTGAAACGTCAGATCTGATCATGCAGTGCCTCAGCTTAGGACCGTGACTTACGACCGGAATTCCGCTCCCAATTTTGTGGTCTTAAGTCGAGGACTACCCGTGACTTCCCATTCTTCTGACCCAGCCCCCCTAAACGCTTCCTTAGGGCCTTTCCCAAGCTGGCAGCCTCTTCCACATGTGTGGACTTCAATTCCCAGAATTCCACCTGTCTTAAAGCCACCAAGGGAGGCTTAGAGGTTCCTTGTGTTGAAGAAAAATAAAGTTTTTTTTTTTTTAACCCAGGAATATTTGGTCCTTTGTGACTTTGGGCCCAACACCTGCATCTACAAGAGATGATCTTACCTGGTGGAGGTGGTGTGAGGTTTGGCGAGCTTTCATTCACCCTGGACTTCCATCCTTCGGTGGCTATTCCTGATCTGGAAGAGACAAAGGAAGTGAGGGAATGAGATTAATCCGTTGCGTCGCTTTTGAGGTGTTACCGCTTGGGAAATCAGTACGGGAATGCAGGTAATCCTCGATTTACAACAGGATAGACTAGAATAGAACTTTATTACGGTCATAGACAAGAATCATCACTGTTTACACTATTGTTAAAAAATACTACTACTACTAATAGTGGATAATAACATTCATGTTAATAAAATACATGGCCTCAAACAGTTTGGATCAGGGGCCTCCAACCTTAGCAACTTTAAGCCTGGCGGACTTCAACTCCCAGAATTCCCCAGCTGGGGAATTCTGGGAGTTGAAGTCCGCCAGGATTAAAGTTGCCAAGGTTGGAGACCCCTGGTTTGGATCATGCCTCTGTTTTTACATGATCGGAGAGTGGATTAAGTATGTGTGTAAATATAATTTCTCTAAAAATTGTAAGAGATATCTACAAAATATCGGCGCAAATTGACACCTATAATTCTGTAACTGAATTTTTCCTTGTGGTCATGGCAGCCGCACGGAATTTCGACACTGCACACGTGGATGACTTAACAACACTTAGGGACCGTTCAAGGTTACAACAGCGCTGTAAGAAGAATCAGAAAACCCGATTTCTAGGAAAGGAACAAAGATAAATAATTGAAGCACTAAAGAATATAACCGAGGCTTCATACTTTGCCAACCTTAGAAGAAATAAAGTTATATGAAAGTGCTTTTTTTTTTTTTTAACAAACAGAACCTCTAAGGGGGGGGGTTGTCTAAAAATAATAAATACAAAACAAGAAGGGTTCAGAAGTGACGCGAATTAGTGGAGTATAAAGGGAAGGATTAAAAAATAAATGAAATCCTAAGGTTTTTCCAAAATTGCATCTATTTATTTACCTAACAACGATTCAAGGTTTTTTCCTATTTTGGTTCTCAAATTGGTTCAAATACATTCAAGGTTTTTTTTTTTATTATTACTATTTTTAAACTTCCATCCCTATCCTGTGAAGGAGACCCACTGAAAGAAATTGGTTCAAATACAGGCCAAGGGAAGAATAAGAAGTGTTGGCCTCGTTGTTTATAACCGCGAGAAAACTGGATCGCAGGCTGTACGGGCTCTGGAATTTATTTATTCCTCCACCACCATCACACAAAACAGTGGCTGAGGACTTCCATATTCTATTCCTCATGTCAAGTGATAATGAGGCTTTCAAGTGTCCTTATTTATGAAGACCCGGAGAATGAGAACAATTAAATGAAGCATCTGTTTCTTTCCCGGAGAGCGCAAGTAGTAACCCCTCCGTTTGCAAGGCTCGCGTGTTTCATCAAATGTCCTATGCCTGTCAACTTTGATAACATAAATAAATGACTTCACGGGGGCTTACTGGATGCACTGGCATATGAGTCACTGAGCTTCAATGGACTCCGGGGGATGGTAGAGGACAGGAAGGCCTGGAGGACCGTTGTCCATGGGGTCGCAATGGGTCGGACACGACTTCGTGACTAACAACAAGAAGTGCGTGTGTCTCTATCTATGTATCTATGTATCTATGTATCTATGTATCTATGTATCTATGTATGTATGTATGTATCTATCTATCTATCTATCTATCTATCTATCTATCTATCTATCTATCTATCATCTATCTGGGTTTCCCCAAAAATTAGACAGGGTCTTATATTAATTTTTGCCCCAAAAGATGCACTAGGGCTTATTTTCCAGTTAGGTCTTAAATGTGGTACTAAATATGTCCATCTGGCTGACGATCTTAACTGGGACTTATTTTTGAGGTAGGGCTTACGTTACGAGCATCCTGAAAAATCATGCTAGGGCTTATTTTCTGGTTGGATCTTATTTTCAGGGAAATACAGTATTAAATGCATCCATCTGGCTGACAATCTTAACCAGGACTTATTTTTGAAGTAGGGCTTATATTACGAGCATCCTGAAAAATCATACTAGGGCTTATTTTCTGGTTGAGTCTTATTTTAGGGGAAATGCTATCTATCTATCTATCTATCTATCTATCTATCTATCTATCTATCTATCTAATCTATCTCTCTATATTGATTAGGGGACAGAAGGGTAAAATATACGAAGAATGGTTGCAGGAATTGGGTATGAAAAGGAGGACTGGGGTGACATGATAGCAGTCTTCCAATATTTGAGGGGCTGCCACGAAGAAGAAGGGGTCAAGCTCTTCTCCAAAGCACCTGAAGGAAGGCAGGACAAGAAGCAACAGGTGGGACTGATCAAGGAGAGAAGCAACCTAGAACTAAGGAGAAATTTCCTGACAGTGAGGACAATTAAGCAGTGGAACAGCTTGCCACCAGAAGTTCTGGGTGCTCCATCACTGGAGATTTTTAAGAATAGATTGGACAGCCATTTGTCTGAAATGGTCTAGGCTCTCCTGCTCGAGCAAGGGGTTGGACTAGAAGACCTCCAAGATCTCTTCTAACTCTGTTATTCTGTTCTTTTCAATACTCTGCAGATTCAATGGGGGGGGGGGGAAATCTCATGTTGGGATAGTTGGAGAGAGAGGAGAAAGAGAAAAGAAATATAAAACGTTCTTTTCTGAAATTTGGAAAATGTTGACTTCTGGAAACGCCTTCCTGTGCTTAAGTGCAAAGCTTTCCTTTTGAGTTACAACAAGGACAGAGAAAAACACAAATGGTTGTTTGTGTGCCTGGTCTAGAAACCCCAAAGTTTTAAGATTTATTAACCTCCTAGGTTAAAAAACAGTTTTGGACCGGGAAATTTGCTCCTGCTCAAACGTCCATGTTCTACAGATGATGTCCCATGATATGGGGGTGGTCCTTATTCAAAAATGACCCTTCTCTCTTGGCAGCAGGCCATCCCTGGCAAATTAGCTGGATCCCCAAGGCGAAACCTTTTCTACTGTAAATGATTTAAAATTACTGCCACCAATTGTATCCTTTTCTTCAAGCTTTTTATTCACTGCTGGTTGGATTGTTTGAACCAGCTTTCCTGTTTATTAAAAAGCAAAGCTCAGTGGGCAATTGCTTTTGACGTTTGTCAACGGAAAGCAAGAAAGAAATGACGTTAAGTAAATAATATACGGAAGTAGAGAGATACCCCAAAACAAGATTAATCTTTAGAACAAGCGTTCTTTTAATCCATGCTGTAGGACTTCCAAAGACGGAACTATTTAGTAGTCTGCCGCTGAGCGTGTCCAACTGAGTGTGCCCAAATTGCAACTGTGTTTTAACTGGGTAATTCGTTCAGTGAGCGTTCCAGGGGTCCCATTAGAAAATGGGGATTTTGACGCAGGAATCTGTTGGAAGTGCCTTGATAAATTTCGAAGGGGTACGTCAGAAGGTAAATACGCCGAGAAACAAAAAGGAAGTCGGATGGGTGCTACAGGAAATGGTTTTGATCTTGGCAAACCTTCCCAACAGGAACATTTCGCGGCATTTATTACAATTCAGCCTATTAAAGCCCATTATAAACGTAAGCTTTGCAATCCAGGAATCAGTTCAGGCCCATAGAATGGACTCGGCCTCTCTTGTGATGTAATGCTGCATTTTCCCTTCTCCGGGATTTTTTCTTCCGAAGCAGGCTTATTCTCTCCATTAGCCTGGGTGGGTAGCATTCAGAAAGGAGTGGTCCCTTCTAGGCAGAGACGATGGCAATAGTAGGAATATTAGCTGCCTGGATCGGACTTACCGGCAGGATTAATTCAAGGTTTTATTATGCTACGCCGCTCACTTTTCAACTCCTTTGAAAAGAACCTTTAAAGAGACGAAATTGCTTTCCTTTCACGGAGTTAGCCGATTTACTCATTTTACACGCAAAGCCAACTTTTCCTTTTAGTGAAATCATGCCAGATTCAAATCCAGAGGCGTTTTACACAAAATGACTAAGATCTGGGGGAAGGATAAAGGTGTGTGTGTGTGTGCGGGGGATGTATAAAGTCTCCAATTCAATGTTAGGATTTGTAAAGTTCAAGGTTGCCATGCAAGCTTATTCGGAGGTAAACTTGAATTCATTGAAGACCCCATAAGCTTAAATCCAAGTTATTGAAGCACAAGATATGATCAGATGGAATATCTTAGGCTTCGCACCATGGTCCAGTTCACTCGACGTGCAAAATGCATAGTTAGATTCCTGCAAACCACCAAACAACTAACTAACCAACCAACCAACCAACCTGATTTTGAACAATATGTGGTGCAAAGCCAGCCCTTATACTCAATAAATGTCCATCCTAAGGGACAGCTTGATGGGACTTCTTTTGATTGCTACTTTAATTGCATCCAGTTTTGCTCACCACATTATACAAAAGACGTTGAGGCTTTGGAAAGAGTGCAGAGAAGAGCAACAAAGATGATTAGGGGCCTGGAGGCTAAAACGTATGAAAAATAGTTGCAGGAATTGGGTATGAAAAGGAGGACTGGGGTGACACGATAGCAGTCTTCCATCATTTGAGGGGCTGCCACAGAGAAGAGGGGCTCAAGCTATTCTCCAAAGCACCTGAAGGCAGGACAAGAAGTAACGGATGGAAACTCATCACGGAGAGAACCAAGCTAGAACTAAGGAGGAATTTCCTAACGGTGAGAACAATCAACCAGTGTAAACAGCTCGCCTTTAGAAGTCGTGGGCGCTCCATCACTGGGGTTTTTTAAGAAGAGACTGGACAGTCACCTGCCTGACATGGTACGGGATCTCCTGCTTGAGCAGGGGGTTGGACTAGAAGACCTCCCAAGGTCCCTTCCAACTCTGCTATCTGTTCCGTTCCTTTGGATTCGTTAAAAAAAAAAAGGACTTTATCTCAGCCATGTTCAATATTCTAACCATAAATATTGCTTCCCATCAAGGAGGAAGGTCTCCAGACAGGAAAACCCATCCGTCACTAAAAGGAGAACTCAGGAAACCTCCCTGCAATCTCTTGATTTTATGACAAGGAGCCTTCCTCCATCACGTCTTCAGCTCGTGCATCACCAAAGATCGGGAGAGACCGAAGCCAGAGGGGTACAG